CCTTCCTCACTGAGCATGCCTGGGAAAAAAGGAGGATACTGTGACTTCAAGTGGAGACGAGGCTTGTGAGAGCCAATGGGAACAAGGGTAACGGAGCCAACTTTTAAAAAAATACTGATAACTGTTGCTCGAAGTGTATAAATATTTTCTGTGCGTTAACTGAGGCATGCTAGCTTTGTGGGCCTACCACCTAGCACCCAACTCTGCACAGATTTGGAATAAAAGCAAATATCTCGGCTCTGTGTGTTTTTCGGCTCTCTGCACACCGGGTGGAAGAACCCATATTTGGGACAACACTGCAAAGGATCGTTCTTCAAAAAGCAGTTGGTAATGGTGAAAAGACTTGATATACTTCACTAGAATGATATTCCAATGAAATGTTACAGTTCGAACACAAGTAACTTACTGTAGAAAAAACATAATCCCCTTCATTTATTAACATATCTCCCAAACTGTTCCTTAATTTCACAGCTGTTCCACCCATGAGCAAATTTCTTTCAGTATTTGCTTTTTGAATTCCACAGTTCTGTGTGCTATACTTTTCTCATAGTGAAGGTTTCTAAAGATATCAAATAAAACTCTATTAAATAAGTTATTTTTTCTACTCTAGCACAATTGCAGTTTTTAACCTAAATTTACACAGAAATAACATCATACTTAAAATATCATATTTTTTAAAAGACAAGATGTATCAGGACCTACATCTTCTACTCATGCGATGGAAATTTAAAATAGTTTATTACTTTTTCGTATCCATTTTGTAATCCACACTGTTGTGCTTGCCAAAAAAAAAAAACAAGCAAAGAAAAATACTGTTTTGAAGGTCTTCAATGTAAACTAAGTTACATGCTCACAGCCCAGTTATGATACTATGATGAAAATATTTCCTTCTTGACCCACAGTTTGTTACCTCCTAATATTACTAGATACTTCAGAATTAACACTGTAATCCACCCTCTTATGTCTTCTTGAGAATCTCCTCTCAAAGTTGTAGAATCACACTTCTGAGATATAATTATGTGGTTGTGTTACTTCAGTTGACTAGGATTGTTTTGTTTTTTGGTTTTTGTGGGTTTTTTTCTTTTTATAAGGTCTCTGAGACTTTAACTAAGTCATTGAATTTATCTTATAAATTTAAATAACATTTTTCCATCAACTGGTATGTATAAACATAAGATAAAAAGTAAAACAGTCAGAAGAACTTACCCTTTTCATTATCACTGTATCTGCCAAGGTAAGGTGGAATTTCAGCCTGATACTGTGAACCAACCATTATTTCCTGAAGATGTAACAAAAATCACAAAAGAAAGGTATTAGCTTAATATTTTGTGCATGAAAGTATGGCATTTTGCAGAGTTCCAGAATTAAGGTACTATTTTAGATATGTACTATAAATCTTAATGCATTTTTCTTAATAGTAAAGTTTTTCTTAACTTTTTTTTTTTTAAGATATAGTTATTACCTTTCTCAAATCTTCAGATGAATTACCATTGTCTGCCTCTATGTCTTCACCATCTGATTCCTTATCTCCATCACACATAGTGTTTGCTTCAGACACAAAGAAGTTTGGTTTTAGCTAGGAAGAATTTTCAGTTCAAACACAGAACTACAAGATATCCTTTACTTTTGAAAGGAGCCCCTGCTTTTATTCTGGGAGACACTCATCATGAGTCTGCTGATCTACATTTCTATCAAACTAGCATGAAGTCAGAAAGCACTGGTACTTGTATATTGCAGAACAGAAACATTTATCATCACTGCAACTGAGACAATCTACTATATTTCTAACAGTCAAAAGGAAACAAGATAATTTTTCTTCATCAATTTTCTTCAATAAAGGCTTATACCTTATAGAAAAGGTATGAGAAAAACAGAAAACTTCCAGGGCTATGACTAAGCCCCAGGTTAATGACAAAGGAAGTAAAGTTGAAGGCAAGTCTTTATTACCTACTGAAGCCTTTCATCAGAAGTTTTAATGGGCATTCAAAACATTCCTTTAAACAAGGCTGCCTCAACATGGAGTGAAGATATAGTAGATATACACAAAATAGAATAAGCAAAAGACAGCAAAAGACTGCTTAAACCTCTTCAATATTTTTTTTCCTTAGGAAAAAATACAGCAAAGCACTCCAAGTAATTCCAATACAGTACTCCACAGGATAACTCATATTTCAGAATCTGGAATGCTGTGGTACCGGGTTCTGAAGTAATTCTATTTTTTATTTTGTCCCTGGCAGAATGGAATACAGTTCTGATAAGATTAAAGCTATTTTGCATTCTCAGTTTTCAGTAACAACATGCTCGTAAATAGGGTTGCAATTTTAGCTTCATCACAACTAAATAGAATCGTCAACATCAAAAACAATATCCAAGACTGTATGGACCGAGGCTCTTCTTCCATAGTCATTACTACAACAACCAGTCTACCTCTTTTTGCTGTTCAAAGTAGCAGGCAAGAAACTAACACAAATGCATGAAACAACAATATGTCTGGATAATAAAATGCAATTATTTTTTCCAACTAATCCAAATTTAATAAGATAGCCTATGTGTTAGATAGGTTTATCTTAAAATTGAATGTTATCTTAGAGAAATGGACAGGGATCAGAAAAAAAAGATGAAACTGTCAGCAACACAGAAAACTGACATTTCCCTCCCTGAAATGGTGGATATTCGATTTTAAAATGGCCAAAAGTTCTAATAGAGAAAGAGTAACAGTCCAATAGAAAATCATGATAGCTGAAAGCAAAGATGACTGTTTTCTTAATCCTGAGTAAGATGACTGGCTAATATTTTTTTCCATAAAGCTGCCACACTTTCAGTGTCATATTCATTAACGATTCACAAGCAATGTTTAAGTGCCAGCAAAATTGGGATTTGCTTAACTAAAAAAGAACATTATATTTTTTAAGGTTTTTGTATCTCTCAATACAGATGTCTTACGTTACACAATCAGCAGCATGCAAAGGGCTACAACTGCTGATGACTGAGACAGCACATCCCTTTTATCATCCTCTTTCTCTAGAGGGATGAAATCCCCCAGAAACAGCTCAAGATACTTGCCAAATTAAAACCGTGATAAAAATCCTCCACATTGCTCCAACTCTAGTACACCAGCGAACAAATGAACTGCAATAGGCAATGAGGAATATCTTGCCCAGGTTGGATAACTGAACCACTGGTTCTCAGATCTTTCCCATAATAGCTCCATGGGTAGTGAAATTTTGGGTGGTCATGGGTTCATAGGCCCCTTCCCATATAAACCCACTTTGCCTCATGAAGTCCTATGGAAAACTGTTGAATGTGTGAAGGGAAATAATCACAAAGAAAACACGTCCCAGTTCACATCCACAGGCTGAATGGAGTTGTCACTGGCTTAAAAGCAGCAGCAAAAATTTTAGTAGAGAAACACTAATTTAAAAGAATGGTTTACATATTCATGTCATTCACGAAGAGTGTTCCTCAACACGTTAACTATTAATTATGAAAAGTTACTGTGTTTGTAGAAAAATTAATTGTACTTGTGCTTTGAGCACAGTACTAAATACAGGTCTTTTAGGTAATCAATAATACCAACCAAAGACAACATTCATGTACAACATCCTACAAAGCACCGTTTCTCAATTCCCGGTTAAGTCAGCACTACTCTGCAATTTTGATATTTTAAACTAGGAAGCCATATATAATGCTAAGACTTTTTGAGTACTATTATAAAATTAGGTTTCCTACATCTTAATGGCCGAGGAAAGAAGTCAGTAGCCTCATGTGAAGTAACTGATGGTGTCAAGTCATCAGCAGAGGACTGTGTTTCTTCATCATCACCTGACAAGAGATCTTTAGCTATTTCCTCCTGTATCATTAAAATAAAAAATAAAAAAAACCACCTCAGACTGACTATTAAGTATAGACTGGTGAGCATTTAGATTCAGAAAATTTTAAGTCCCATTAATTAAAATTATTTTACCATAAGTAATAATTTTAACAGACTGTCCTCTCAATTAAAAAGCTAGTTCACTCCTAAATCTCAGAACAAATATAACTATTCATTTCAGATTTGAACATGGGGCTTCATTTCTCCCTTGTCTTCTATTAAAATAAATGTACAAGTAGTAACCTCTGCAAGCATCAAATCTCAGATGTTCCTCCAACTGCTTCCAATTAAAAATGCCAGTTGAAATCTTTAGAATTCTGTCATTCTTTGCATCACAGATATACTAAAGCTTTAACAGGCTGTTACCCCTTAAACTCTGGGGGAAAAAACAAAACAAACAAAACAAACCCAAAACACCCACAGCCAGGCACTTTTGTAGACTTTTTGCCAAGTTACAGATAATAGACAACCCATTATCTTCCCAAATCACACACAAAAAATGATGTTTCTGTAGATTAAAAAAAGAAAAAAGGAAGAAAGAAAGAAAAAGCATACTTTCTCCACTAGCAGACATATTTGAACCCCTCTGTATAGAGATTAGGGAGGGAAAGAACTGTATCAGACAACAAGCCAACTACATTTCTGTAGCCTCAACACAATCATGACTCCTAATTAGAATCAGATGTGCAGTCATCATTATACCCTACTTTCTGTGGGGTTTATCATTTCATCATACTTACAGAAAGTAAAAGACACATACTTACTACCTACAGATTTTATAATACAAACTACTAGCTGCATATGCCTTAGAGCCAAAAATCAGACTAAAGTCTCAGAATTCAAAGTTAGCCGGCAAATCACAAAAACTTAAGTTTCATGTTTTTATATTCAACAGTGCAACACATATAGTCATTGCACATAAAACAATCTCTCACCCCCCCAAAGTTGAGACCTTTCCAAATTATATGCATTTGAAAGGAACATTCCAAAGCATTCAGAAGTGCATTTTCAAGTTATCCACAAAGGTTTGATACATAACATGTATGTTTGGAAGCCAGAATTATTATTTCTGGACATTGCATACATTAAAATAAAATACAGATCTTTTCAGAAAAATCCCACTTCTATTTAAAAAAAAAGGAAATATATTTAAAATTCTCTGGATGCATTTTAGAAGAACCGTTAACTTATTCATTTCTCATTTGTAGTAATATAGTGCCACTGAAGTTGCTATGCATGTGTAAGCGTGATAATTATAATTAGATTCAGATCCTCAATATCCTTGAAAAAGAATTAATTCAGAGCAGAATCACAGAATCATAGAATCATTTAGGTTAGAAAAGACCTTTAATATCATCGAGTCCAACTGCAAACCTAACACTGCCAATTCCACCACTAGTACAGTAACTTTTAATTGTATATTGAAATTGAGAGATATGTATTTTGTAACATCAAAAGATAATGAAATATAATTTAAGGTCACCTGGATTTCTGCTTTTAAACAGTAATACAGGGGAAAATAGTTCTGACTTACTTTATCTAGAGTCATATCTGGAAGTTCACCTGCAAGTTCACTTGGAGAGCTATCCACACTGGAACCAACCATAACTGGAATCGCAGGTCCATAGCCGTAGAATGCCAGTAAGTCTTCCAATGGCATGTTTCCTTCCTAATACAAGAAGATTTACAAACATTTCAACATACTGTCAAATACTTGTAAACAGTTCAGACCTAAAAGGATAAGACATATTTTGAAAAACAAAAGTAAACAAACAAACAAACAAACTTAACTGAAAGCAGGAATCTTGATTAAAGATCTAAAATATTTTCAGGCACAAGACTTAAATAATTCATAACCATGTCTCTTGGCGTATAATGAAGTCCCATCAAGCTACTGGAGAAAACCACTTACTGGTTGAAACTAAGGAGTAATTATTAAAAACTTGCTCCTTATCTGATTCATACTGTAGAACATGATTTGCCTATATTTCTTCAAGGCAGAAGATATACTAGAAACACTAACAATCCCCTTACAAGAAAGAAAAGCAGAAAAACTTGAAGACTTTAGTTCTATATAGTTACAGCTGCAAGTATGCAAAACACCACAAAAGCAAACCAATATAGCAGCTTTTTATCCCTCCTTTCCATCTTCTGCACAATATATTTTATAATGACTGTTGAGAAGGTGCTGGGGTTTAACCCTGGCCAACAACTAAATACCACACAGCTGCTCCCTGAGCAACAGCAGCCCCCACCAACCTTCACCACCCAGCTTTTATTGCTGAGCACAACACCATATGGTATGGAATATCCCTTTGGTCAGCTGGGGTCAGCTGTCCCAGCAGCATCCCCCTCCAATTTCTTGTGCACCCCCCCAGCCTACTCGCTGGCAGGGCAGTCCATATTTGGTCTATGACTTTGGGCTTTATCTGTTATGGTGGTCACTCAGAACAGGAGAGGTGGTATGTTGCATGGAGGCTTGGAGCTGAGCCAGCTCAGTTTGGGTCACTGCTGCACTTGCACTTCTTGTGATATTCATCCTTCATTCATTCAGGTGGTTCCTGCTACAGTAATTTCCATGCAACTCAAATCATGGGTTACAACAATTTAAAGGTATATCCATTACATTCTCCACCCCTGGTTCTTTTGGACTAGGCCATAAGTTTAACATTGCAATTAATTCCTCCTCTTGCCTCTAGCTTGGCTAGCAGCAAGAGGCTCCTGCTATAATACCTTTAACATGGCAGGCCCAGCAGTGGTGACATATAACATCATGCAATACTGCCATCATACAACTCAAATCATGGACTATTTTCACCCAGGATTAAATCACCTTGAGGTACTCATTGGACTTCCCCATCCTTCTGCATTACCAACCAAGTGCACCCAGGTCCTTGAGCAAAAGCAATCCCACAAATGGGTTTGCCCTTTCTTGAGGATTAATCCAGACTGTTTTTCTCAGCCAGTTCTTTATATGTACTACAGGGATCTTATCTCCTTCCACAGTGCACAGGGGTTTTGATTGGACAGGACCAGGTCAACCTAGGTTATCTCTGGCTGAGGTGTAAAGCACATTTTTAACATCTTTTCTTGCCTGGATTAGCCCAATGGCTACTGCATGAACTATTTCATGTTTAATTTGTTCAAAGGCTTGTCATTGCTCAGGGCCCCATTTAAAATCATTCTTCTTCCGGCTCACTTGATAAAGAGGGCTTACAATCAGACTGTAACTTGGAATATGCATTCTCCAGAAACCCACAACACCTAAGAAAGCTTGTGTTTTTTTGCTAGTTGGTGGAGACATAGCTGTTATTTTGTTGATCACATCCATTGGGATCTGATGACATCCATCTTGCCATTTTATTCCTACGAACTGGATCTGTGCAGGTCCCTTGACCTTACTTTGTTTTATTGCAAAAACAGCTTTCAAGAGGATTTAGATTATTTTCTTCCCTTTATCAAACACTTCCTCTGCTGTGTTGCCCCATACGATGATGTCATCAATGTATTGCAGGTGCTCTGGAGCTTCACCCTGTTCCAGTGCAGTCTGGATCAGTCCATGGCAAATGGTAGGGCTGTGTTTCCACCCCTGGGGCAGTCGATTCCAGGTATATTGAACACCTCTCCATGTGAAAGCAAACTGTGGCCTGCATTCTGCTGCCAAAGGGATTGGGAAAAACATGTTATGTGACAATAGATATCGCTAACATTTGGCAACCTTTGACTCCAGTTCATATGGGAATTCTAGCATGTCTGGTACAGCAGCACTCAGCAGCGGTGTGACTTTGTTCAGGTCTCGATAGTCCACTGTTAGACTCCACCCTCCATCAGACTTTTGCACAGGCCATATGGGACTATTAAAGGGTGAGTGAGCCTTACTGATCACTGTTTGACTCTCCAGTAGCCAGATCAGCTTATGGATGGGAACGAGGGAGTCTCAATTGGTGTGATATTGCCACCAGCGCACTGTCCTGGTAGCAACTGGCACCTGCTGTTCTTTAACTCACAGCAGCCCCACCATAGAAGGAACCTCTGAGAGACCAGGCAAGCTAGACAGCTGCCTAGTTTTCTCCCTACTACCTGCCTAGTTTTCTCCATCCTCAGGGCAGCTACACCAAAAGCCCACCGGTACCCCTTTGGGTCCTTGAAGTACCCTCTCCTGAGGTAGTCTATGCCCAGGATACATAGAGCCTCCAGGCCAGTCACAATAGGATGCTTTTGCTGCTCATTCCCAGTTAAGGCTTACCTCAGTCTCTGACACAGACAGTTCTTGGGATTCTCCCGTCACTCCAGAAATATAGATCGGTTCTGCCCCTTTGTAATCTGATGGTATTAGATTACACAGTGCACCCATGTCCACCACAGCTTTATACTCCTGTGGGGCTGATGTGCCAGGCCAAACCCACACAATCCAGTAAACCCGGTTGTCCCTTTCCTCCACCCTTTTTCCAATCCCTTTGTCAATGGCCTTCCCAGCTGCCAGGCTTCCTTCCCCTCTAGTTCCTGAACTACCAGCCCCAATATCCTAGCATTGGAGTAACCAGCTGAGAATTAGCTCGCCTGGTTGACAGATGAAACCTTTTCTCATATCTTGCAGCTCACTTAGGGATAGGGATCAGGTGGTTTATGTTACATTTATGATTTCAGTCCCTTCCTCCTCCTGTTCTTGTGACTGCTCTGCTGCAGAACAGGCTGCCTCTTCTGATTCTATCTTCTGCTCCCTCTTAGGAGAAGCTTCTTCATCCCTTACTAAATGAGTTGACTTCCACTTTCATTGTTTCTTTTTTGTTATAAAGGTGACTGATATAGTTGAAGGCTGGGTCTCTGGTTTAGCCATAGTGTCTGTTGGTATGTTTTCAGATCCAGAGACCCTCTCTTTTCCTTGAGGGTGCTGAATACTATTGAGCAGTGTTTGGTAGGTATGGGCCAGGCCCCAGCACAGCACAATAAGCTGTGCCTCTTCGGAATAGCCAGGGCATTTATTATTTTTCTTCTTCTTCCTCTCTCTCTCCAAACATTCTATCACTTCATCAGGATTCCACACTTTGGGAGTGAAGTTCCAGACCATCAGAGGTGAGAAGCTTTCTAGATACCTTCCCATATTCTTCCACATGCCTTGCCACCCATAACCACACTGCCACAGGGCCTGGGTCATATTCCCAAATAGCTTGTTAACTTTAGAAAAAGCCAAAACGATATTCCTAAGAAATACCAATAGAAGTATT